GGTGAGGCGGGGCGCTGGGGGCCGTTTGGGACGGAGCGCGGCCTGCCGGGCGCTGAGGGAACGGAGGCTGTCGCCGGAGGGACCCCGCGGCCTGGCTGGAAGGGCCGGTCCCGCCGCCTGAGGGGCTGCTTGTCTGCCGCTCAGCTCCACAAGAGAGCGGGGGCTTCCCGGTGTTAGGCCCTGTGGGAAAAGGGCGCTTTCGGATTTATCCCAATTCCCCCAAAACGTGGTTTCGCGGTCGCTTTGCGCGTTTGGTCCGAGCGCCGGAAGAGGCCGGTGGCTGCTGAATGAAAAATGCAAAGCTGAATGAAACCTTCGCGGGGGGGATTGAAAACAAACCAACAAACCAAGCTGTGGAGTGGAGAGGGGCATCGGTTTTGTTTTTTGATAGATGGTGGGTTTTTTTAAGCACTTGTTTTCTCAGGCACAGCGTGAGTCCCTAGGAGAGCTCAGGGCTGCTCAACCTCTGTAGGTGACAGGAAGCCTAAATGGGTGGATTGGCAGGAAAATTTGACAAAAATGACCTTTCGTGCAGCCTAAGAATTATTTTTTTTCCCTGAACCATAAAATATCAACAAAACAAGTACGTTTCAATGAAAACAGCAGCATTCGGTTGGTTATTGAGAAACTGCGAAACCAGATCCTTCACCTCTCACGCAGCAGGGCTGGTTTCTCATTAATCTGGTGTTATGCTCTAATAATGAGCATGAACAGGGCACTTTTACCCTTGGTCCTCAGCATGGACCACTGGTTCTCTGGAACCACTGGGTGCTTGGTTTGGTATTGAAAGGCTCAGGCACTGATCCTCTGGGGGGAAAACTCGGCACTCGGATGCCTTACTGAAGAAAGACAGGCTTGGCTGGGAGCTTTGCTTGTCTTGTCTTGTTGAATCGGGGCTGTAATAGCTGCTGTTGTATCTTTTAATCCACCAGCTGAGTGTGTGTTTAAGGTCTTGTAAGGCACAGTAAAACAAGGTGTGGTGTCAAAAACATTTCCGTGTCATTTAACTGCTGCAGTAGCACAGCAAGTGGCTTTTAAGTGAATAAGGAGAGAAACTTGATTAAATGAGTTGTTTAAAAAGGATGATGAAGCTGCCAGCATCATATTCTTAAGGACAATGTGAGGAAGTCCAGAAAACCTTTGTTTATGGGAAGAATAAACCAGTTTGTTTGAAACTTGCGGCATGAGTTTCAGTTTGCTTTGCTGGAGTTGTTATTGTGAATTATTGAGTGGGGAGATCCCAGAGGAAAGTCACACTCACCGAGACATGGAAATGAAAGTGACTTCAGGAACAATTTTGAACAAGATTTTGAAGTTCTTTTCACCAAAACCCTCAGTGATTCTCATTCCTTTTGTCCAAGGAGCATAATTCAGTTTTCTCTTCAATGGACTCGAGTATTTTCTGAATGTGTTTTGGTCCTAAAATGAATTGATAGTACTGACAACTCTTCCTCTGCTTAATTTGAAAATAGTTGGCTTTGTTTTTTAGTACTGCTAAGAAACCAAACAAACCTGCACTCACAGAACATAACATCCCCCAAATCATACATATTTTTTTAACGATGTCTTTGTTTCTGGGTTGTGGTAGAACTTTAAAAATAAATGTTGGCTGACTTAAGGTACTGTCTGTGTTTAGACTATCAAGTGAATTTGAAAATGAATGTATTTATTCTCTGGATATCCCTAGCAGAGAATGTTTTGTTAGTTTGTTTCTGCAGTCAATACATCAATAACGTAGTCAGTGGTGTCTTTGTTTTAAGGGTACACTTTGTGAGTGTCTCACTTTCTTTAGTTTTTAATGCACTGTAGAAATAAGGATTTGGGCTTTTTGTTTCTCCACAGAAAATGTGAGATGTGTCCTTTTGATTTTTCTTCTGCCTCTAAAGTTTAAAAAAAGATTTATTAAAGAAAGTTAACTCTATTTTTGGGCTCACAACTTTTCCTCCAGAATGGGAAATACAGAATGATACGGCAAGAGCAACTTTGGGACTCATCATAAGCTTTCTGTTACAATCCTCTTTTATAGAGAATAGCAGAGTTTTAAGAAATATCTTGGTTGACTGTAAGAAACACTTCAGGATCACTTATGTGCTTCATTTTGCAAACTCTATTTTCTTCCTTTCTTAATATTTTGAATTACTGTTTCAAGTTTTAAATTAAAGTGCTCCGATACCAAGAGGGCGGACTAATTGCAGAATTGGACTTGTTCTGTGAATGAGTCTGTGAATAAAACAAAACCAAAACCCACTCCAAAGCTCTTAGTGCGAATGAATTTAAAGTATGTTCTTCATGAAGAGAAAAGTGAAGCATATTGCAGCTCTGTGTCGGCGAGGCAAGAAGAGGCTGTGCTGGAAAGAGGATGAATTAACCCTGTGGTCATTCCTCCTCGCCTTGCCGCGAGCGGGCACTCCTGTGGTCAGATGTGTGCTGCTACGCATGCCCCATTCATTGAGCACTGGTGAAATGCCCTTGGTAGCAGGGAAGGGTCCGCGTTCCTGAGCCCAGTTCACGGGTGGGAAGTACTTTGTGTTGGTTAGTAGTGCTTTCATCTGATGTGTAACTTCTGTGCTTCTTTTAGGCTCTGGCTTCTCCTTTCTTTGCTATTTGTTTTTAGCCACTGGAAGTATTCTCTTGCCCTGCTTGGAGGTGTAAAAATGGGGTGTTTTAAGTGTACAGGCATTGTGCAGCTGCAATGGCAGCTTCAGTAGTTGTAAAGGCTGTAGTAGATTTTAAGTACATTAAATTGTTTTGTCCTAAAACTTGATTTTTAAAAAAGGTATTTTTGTTCATCCTTGATCCGTTTTTAACAACTTCTCTGAACTCTTAAGTGTCAGTAAACAGTGCATACATTAAGAATGATATTGGAGGAAGCACAGAGTTGGTGTTTCAAATGAAGGATGTGGTGAACAAGTGCAGGAAACTCAATCCTGGAGCAAAGCTCTTTAATTCTCTGCATCAGAGCTTGGTCTGACTTCTGAAATATTGAACTGCTGCTGCTTTTTTTGTCTTAAGATTTTCTGTCTGCTGTGCCTGGGTATTCTCATACATATCAATGACTCCCCCCTGCCTCCCAACGTACCTAATTATTTTCACCTCCTTACTCTGTGGCAAAAAAATGTTGGTGGCAGCATGGGGACAGCGCTTCCAAGCGCTTGTCCCCAGCAGCTCAAAAGTCTGAATTAAACTGTGTCTGTATGAGGGCTCCCGAACATCCTGCAGCCGTCTGTCCCCCTGGCCTGGAGACTTGGCCAGTTCTAATCGGCTTTTGAAGCAGAACAATGCTCTGATGGATGGTGTGATTACTAAAGAAGAGGCTGTCCTATTCTGTTTCTACCAAAACTTTCTAGAATTGCTTTGGAAAATCAACTCTGCGAATGTTCCAAGTTCTGGGTCTGAATTTAGCGCTGTGGTCAGGTAACAGAGCTGTTAACTGTTCCAATGTGAATGTCATGCTGCCTGCGTAGCTGTTAAAATCTATAATGAACTCTTTTATTTGGTATTAATACACTAAGTGACTTCTGGTATGGCTGACTTGATTTCTGTATCTATATCTTTCTAAATGAAGTAGTACATTATACGTCTTTTATTCTTTATCCTCTATTATATAGTGGATTTGGCTTCAGCAAACCCGGAAAGCAATTGAAAATTAGATGTAAATGTCTTGTCACTGTTATCATTGCGTGTTTGTTTGAGTTGGAGAACTGCCTTGTGGTACCCGGTGTGGTGGGATTTCTGTCCACGTGTGGCTTCTCATCTTTAAATGCTGTGTGTAGTCAGTGCCATTCAAGGAAACCTTATTGAAGCTGGAAGAGGAGTGAGAAGCTGAAGCTGATAAAAGCAGAAAATAACATTTCAGCATAAGAATGCTGTATTTTTAGGGAAGTCCCAGGAGACTTGAGAAGTGCCTATGTTATTTCCTGGGTAAGAAGTAAAGAGGTGATAGAGGAGCAAAGCAGTGGGGCAGCCCCGAGTGTGAAGATGCTGAGCTCTGGAGCTCCCAGAGTTTGCCTGAGGGAGATGTGGGGATGCCCAAAGGTGAGACAGGGGCTTGGCCTGCAGCTGCTTCAAAATCTGGGTCCTCTAGCTTATGATATAATAATTTTTGTGGTTCCGCTTGTTCTTCCTGTCCGATGTTCATATGGAGTGACCTCTTGCTGTCAAAACACAGGGTGACATTTGTCTTTGTATGGCATTACCTTAATGGTGCTGACTGGGTTTTGAGATGTTTCCTGGAAAAGCACTGAAGTCAGAAAACAGTCCTGAGTTCACTTCTTTGATTTTCCTTTTTCTCAGGAAGGTGATGGGGGCGGTGGGGTTTTTGTTTATTTGGTTTTTGTTTCTTTGGGTTTGGGGTTTTTATTTTTGGCGTGGCAAAACAAACTTTTATATTGCGTGATTCTTTTTTAAAAAATAAATGCTGTTACTCTCTTTTATTTTTTCTTTTATAGGTCCCTTGTGGTCGTCCACTTCTGGGCACCATGGGCTCCTCAGTGCACTCAGATGAATGAGGTTATGGCAGCGCTAGCAAAGGAACACACACAGGTTACGTTTGTGAAGGTAAGTTGGGCTTGTTTTAAACACAGGAGAGCTGTTATTACAAAGTATGAATGAAGTATTGCAAAATATGGATAAAGTTGTTTTTGAAGTTCCTTTATGGCTTCACATTTAAAGATGCGAGTTGCACGTATGGAAGAGATGCATCAAAAATCTGTGGGAGGAAAGTTGTAGGTTCATCTTTCCAAACTTTATACTGCAAGCTTAAATAACACCTTCATTTTATTGTGCTGTTGAAAGAAAAAATTAAAAATCTATCTACTAAGATGCAATGATGGATTTACTTTTCTCTAGCTACTCCATCTAACAAATAGGCTTTTAAATTTCTCTGTGCCCACAGTGTCTCAGTCCTTCAGTTCTGTAGACAGTCACATTTTTAAAGCATGATTTTTATCTGTGGATTGGAGATTGATTTGGCAATGCTGTTCTTGCCAAGTGTGCTGGAGATTTCATTTGTTCCCGTGGTGTTACTGCTCATTGGATCTCAGAACTCATAGATGTTTTCTGTCTGATACTGAAGATGAGCAGAAATCAGGAAGTTTAAAGGAAGGTAGATTTAAATCTGTGCAACGCTGTCACTCTGAGGTGATACCCACGCAGAGCTGGATGGTGTAAACACAAACGAGCTGCTGTATTTTATGAGGTTGTCTGCACGTCCTAATGAGAGAACCAGTGTGGAGAGAAAAATGAATGCACTTCATCAACAGAGCATTTGTTTTAAAACAAGTTTCTCTTGTTAATGAGACACTTTGTGATTATGAGGGCAGGGAGCAATGGAGCAGCCAGCTGCGTGTGAGTATTTTAATTTGATTTCTTACAGCCTTTAGTGGTTTTTTTTAATGCTTCCCCTCTCAGCAGGTGTTTCTCTCTGTAAAACAGAAGGACAGAACTATTTTAATGGTAGTGCTTTATTGTTTAGAGCTTCAAAAGATTGACTTTAAGCATTTTGAGAAATCAAGTTGCTTAAATTTATATCAAGCTGCTATAGCTTTTAGTAGGCCCAAGAAAGTCTGAAAGCTCTCCGTTGCCTCTTTACTACTTATATTCATGTATTATTTGTTTAGAACCCTTGTTACTAAAAAATAAGTTACAGCTGAACAATAAGGTTGCAAAGTGATCAAGTATTGCGAAACTAAGATAGTGGCACCTCCTCCCCTCTCTGCCACACTTCTTTAGAGGAAAATAAGCTACTGAAACACTTGGGTGAATCTTCTTGGTCTGGCTTTTGGGGAGGGGCTCCTCAGGGTAAATGTGTTGGATTTTGGAAGATGGTTACAGAAAACTGACCAGGGGCAAAGTGCTGCCTTGCAAATCAGAAACGGCCTAGAACAGAGCTGAGTAATGATGAAATGAACTTCAAAATTGTCAATAAATCTTAAAATTTCTCATTTTAGTTGCTGCATAGCCTAACTCTAAGATCCTTGGCTTGGTTAAAACGAAAGTGTCTCTATCCAGAAAGAGTTAGAAACAATTTTTTGGAAACTTGTACCAGTAAGAGCAAGTTACTGAAATAAGAAATCACATCTGGTTTGCATGTGTGACCCTCACCAGAGTGGAACATAAGTATCCAAGTAAGTAGGAAACTTTTACTGGAAAAGAAAATGAATATTCTAGGTGGAAGTAATGTAATCATTTCCCACTTGGAAGAGAGCAGATAACTGGAATCTCTGTACAGTGTTCAATGTATAGCTCTGATTTCTCAGTTGATCCTGCTGGAGCATTGATGTACAGAAACAGAGGTGAGGTTTGGGCTCACTTTTGGCTTATTCTGCTGGATTGCCTCTATTTACTGAGTTCATTAGAAGTCTATATCAAAACATGGTGTATTACTCAAATATTCAGAGGTTCACTATGTTTTGGTTAATACTGAGAACAATCACGGTAGTTTCTGATACCCGTAAGGGTGGACGGGACAAGCAGGAGGTAATTGTTAGGTATTTCTCTCTGTGCTTGCTCATGAAGAGTCCCTGCATGGTTTGTGGGAGAAGAACTGGAAAGGCTTTTTGTTTGCACACTGACTTGCAGGTTCCTGTTTGAAACGTTTAAATCTATCACCGCTTTTTTCACCGAGAGCTGATGTCGTAAACAACTTTGTGCTAGATATTCTGTCAGTCAAGAAAGCTTTTAGCCTGTGCACAGAAAATCACAGATTTGGGTTAGTTAAGATATATTTTCTTGGTAGATATCTACGCTGTATGATTTCCAGGTATGTGTTTGAATGCTGAATAAAATTAGCACCGATAATCTGACCAAGTGGCCACTCAACACACCGTAGCCTTGCAGGAGTTAATAATAAAATGTGGTAGACATCAATAGCTTATTGAAGAAACACTTCTTTTTTTTCCCTTCATAATTTGCAGAAGGCTGCAAATGTCAGTCGTGATGTACTGCCCCTCGGAATTAGTCAATAGAGCAAACAGCCAGAATTGCTGTGGGCAGAAAATAAGCACTGTAATCATGACATAACCGGGGTCAATGATTTATGGATTTCAATATAGTAGTAGCTGCATATGATTGAAAATTTACTAGGTCACTAGTGCACCAAAAATTTTATTTGTAGCCTTCGGGCATCTTTTGAAATGTGCAACAAAATAAAAACCTCTGAACCTGTTTTGACACTGCGTAGGCTCGGCGGGTGACACGCCAGCCCAGTGAGTCTCATTTAAATGCAAATGTGTCACAAACTTCGGCATCAAGTCCTTTTTAAATGTATAAAATGCCCAGAAGAACGTTCGAGACAGGAGTGACATCCACCATCAAACTTGAAAAGAGATTATGAAAATAATAATGTTTTTCTGTTTTGTTGTTGTTGTTGTTTTGGTTTTGCAGCTGGAAGCTGAAGCTGTGCCTGAAGTCTCTGAAAAATACGGAATTACTTCTGTTCCAACCTTCTTATTCTTTAAGGTAAGAGAGAATGGATTTAAGAGAAAATGGATTCCATATGGACTCTTAGCATGTACACTTCTAAAGCACCTACCTGAAGAGCAGAACCTTGGTGGAGAGACACTTAGATATCTGATTTAAGTCTATCCAGTGCAACCTAAAAAAGTAGATATCAAGTATAAGCACAATTTCTATGTAATATTTCAGCGGTTCCTTAACTGCTTTGGCGTTCTTGCATGGTTTGTATTTATTTTGGTTGTACCTTGTATCATGTTAAAAACCTTCAGTGCTGTTTCCTTGTCTAGCTGCAGTTCTACAACGTGGCAAAAACCAAGGGAAAAATTCTCTTGATATAAAGGACAAGTCTGTCTGGGTCATCTTTGCCTGTGGTAATAAAATCCAAAATACTTTCTTTAATAAATTCTTCCAAGAGCAAATTCTGTAGCATTAACGGTAACCAGAATGGTCTGAGTCTTGGAACTAAAGGCTGGCGAAAAGATCAATACACTAATCCACCCCGCATCTGAAAATCTATACTTTATATGGTGGTGTTCCTATATTTTTATTACAGTACAAATTCAGAATGCAGCCCTTTAACAGCAGCCCGTGTTTTGGTTTCCCCAGAACTCTCAGAAAGTCGACAGATTGGACGGTGCCCATGCCCCAGAGCTGACCAAAAAAGTGCAGCGCCACGCGTCCAGCAGCTCCATTTCTGCCGGCTCCAACGACAGCGCCAAGGAGGACCTCAACGTGCGTCTGAAGAAGCTCATCAACGCTGCCCCCTGCATGCTCTTCATGAAGGGGTCTCCAAAAGAGCCTCGCTGCGGTAAGGGTTTCCCAAAATCCCTGTTTGGTGTGACAGCCCTCGCGTCGGGGTAGTTGTCAGATATGTGCAGTTTTAGGGAGATACATCCCAACACCTGGAAATATTGATGGAAGTATTTTCATGTTGCTTCTGTGCAGCTAGAGAATTGCTTTTCCCTCAGGTAAATTTTGGAAACGGCATCGCAGAGATGAGGGGCTTTCTAAAGAATGTGATGTGCAGTGCTGTCCTTGAACTGCGACACTTTCCTGAGGTGGCTCAGCGTTTGTTCTTGACGTGCTTTGTGCAGCAAGTTAGACACGTTGAAAGTGTGAAATAGACTGAGGAGAACGTTTCAATTCAAGGAATAACAAGAACTGACAAAGAGCTGGGATTACTGTTGCCATTAAAAGAGAACAAAATGATCCTAGCTGGTAACATTGAAAGTAGCCTGTTTCTGCTACAGTGGAAGTGCCTTTTCTTAAACCTAGTGCTGTTAACTGCTGCTGACTGTGTAGAGCGCTTGATTCCTACCTAACTTGAAGTGTTGATCTGTGTGGAAAGCACATGAACAAATGTTAACCCCCCCAAATCTTTCAGTACTTTGAAGCTGTTGAGGTTCATATTAAGTTGTCAGTCTGCTTCTAACCCACCAGTCGTTTTCTGCTGATATCGTACAGAAGTGAATATTAGCTGCTATTTTCTGCAGTCTTTTTGTATACACTTGCTCCCCAAGGCCCATATTCCATCTTGAGAAAACAAGGAGCAAAAAGCAGTGTGGAAAAACCACCACTGCTCACCTCCAGAGCTTCACTTGGAATGGGAGCACTGGAAATGTCTTGTTCTGGGGATGGTGATGATAAATTATATTTATAAAATTCTAAAACTGAGAGGAGGGAAAGGCAATTGAGAAAAATGTTGCATTGACTTTTACCTCCTTTGTCTCCCTAAATTGGTTTAGAGATCAAATGTTGTAACTTGTACAGTTACTTCTCTGCAGAAGGTGACTAAGGTTGGATTCCTTTGCTTAGTGAATGTGTATCCCATGGCACAGATCAAAGCAACTGCATTGCTGGGCCAAAGAGATGAAGGAAATGGGAAATATAACAGGAGAATAAGAAAAGAATTAGCAGTAGTTAGCTCCTTCCAGCCACGCTCCTGAACAAAGGTCTGTGGCAGAAGAGGAACCAGTAAAGAGACTGTGTTAAAACAGTCAGTGCTGCTCAGCAGTGCTTCTCCTGCCTGGTCTGGAGCCCACGAGTGCTTGATTCAAAGTGTTGCTGTGGTGATTTATTGATGCTGTATTCACAGCATTGCCAAATACCCTTGTGGTGTGCATGCACTGCAGGTGATCCAGCTGTGGAAGATCTCACTGTGGTTTTAAGTATTAAATTCAGTTAAGTTTCAAGTGCAGACAATCCCACGTAGCTGCTGCTTCTGCTTTCTGTTGGAGCATGTCCAGGAAGTCTCCAAAAGGAACTGAGTAGAAAACTGTAAAGAAAAACGAGTGAAATAGCACTAAAGGACCTTGAAAAAGGGGGGTGAGGTAGCAAGAGCAGCTTTGGTCTGACAGTGGGTGAAGCACATCAGAGGTTTGAGAGAGAAGCAGTGGTTAAAGCACATCAAATGGGTTTCGATGTGCTGCAGAGGGTGGTCCTGCCCTGGCAGAGTGAGGGGAGTCTTGCAGTGTGGTCTAGGTTACTTCAGGTTGATGAAGCATTTGCTTGTGGCTTGTGTGCAGCTTTTCTTACTGCCCCTGTACCTATGTGTACTTTCAGCTGGTTTTAAAATCTTTGCATGCCGTTTTCCAGTCTGCTTTTCCAGATGTTGCTGGAAAAGGGTTATAGAAATATGAGGGCAAGTGCAAGATCCTGCATGTACTGAGGCTTCCTGTGCTGTATTGGGCATCTACTGTGTTGGTATCTTCACACCCTTTTTTCTCCTTCTTTTGTCCCCTTTCTAATTTCACTTTCAATGCATTAATAGGTTTCAGAACCACTTCAGTAGAAATAGTTTCAGAAATAACTGCAGATTTCAGAACTTTCACATTCATTGTGCTGATGTGTTTGTGCATAGGTATTTGCTCCTATGAAGCATTGATGAAGTTAATCTAATTATATATAGATAATTCTGTATTTGTACTATGTAACAATATGGTTATAGGTGTGTGCAAGCTGCATATCATCATAGGAATTTATATATTTTGTAGGAATGGAATTTTTGGCTTATTCTGAACTAGGTTTGTGAAGTCACAGAATCCCAGAACATGAGGAGCTGGAAGGGACCTGGAAAGCTCCCCCAGTGCAACCCCTGCCAGAGCAGGATCACCAGAGCAGTCACACAGGAACACGGCCAGGGCTTTGGGTGTCTCCACACAAGGAGACTCCACAACCTCTCTGGGCAGCCTGGGCCATGCTCCAGAACCCTCACACTCACAAACTTTGGCCTCATCTTCAGCTTGAACCTCCTGTGCTCCAGCTTGGGACCATTGCCCCTTGTGCTGGCATTGGCCATCCCAGAGCAGAGCCTGGCTCCTTCCTCCTGACACTGCCCTTTCCCAATGGATCCCCAGGAATGAGGGCACCCCTCAGTCTCCTCTGCTCCAAGCTCAAGAGCCCCAGCTCCCTCAGCCGCTCCTCAGCAGGAGATGCTCCACTCCCTCCAGCATCTTTGTGGCCCTGCTGGACTCTTTCAAGCAGTTCCTGTCCTTCTGGAGCTGAGGGCCCAGCACTGGACACAAGATTGCAGCTGTGGTGTGAGCAGGGCAGAGCAGAGGGGCAGGAGAACCTCTCTGCCCTCCAACCACGGCTTCTCATCCAGCCCAGGATGGTGTTGGCCTTCTTGGCTCAAGGGCACATTGCTGGCTCATGGGCATTGCTGCCACCAACACCCCAGGTCCTTTTCTGCAGGGCAGAAAAGTCCATCCCTTGATGCATCCTGCAGTACCTGTATGTGATAGGGCACGGCTCTGACGAGCTCCTCATATTCATGAGTACATTTTGGGGTGTCTGCAGCTTAGATTATTCATGTATGTGTGCTTTAAATTTGATCCTTGGTACCCCAGGAAAAGTGCACAGGAGGTACTTAACTAAATAGAGATAGGTGTTAAAATTGGAAGTATTACAATGTAGTGCAACACGTGAAATCGTCTGGATTGACAGCTTTTAATTTTGTGGCTAAATGCTGTCCCTGCTTTAGGCTGCTGGGATGGTTTCTGGCAGAAGTTGGGTCCGTTAAACTGAAATAGAATAGACGATGTATTTTTCAAGGTGAAAGTAACTGAACATCTTGCCAAAGATAACGTGGATCTGTTAGAGCAGTAGTAGGAGTGGTAATTCCTTCAGAAATTCAACCTAAATCTTTTGTTTTGAAAGCAAAGCCGTTCTGGCGCTTTATCTGTAAGCATAACCCTTCCAAACGCAGCCTGGCCAATCAATCTTTCTGCTTTGCATGGAATTGCCTACAGCTAAAATGAGGCTTTTTCCCTCCTCAATTCCTTACAGTAGAAACGAGTTAATATTGGCGATGGAATAACCATCAGCAGTCGGCCTGTGGCTGTTTACTAATGAACTCCCAGGTGGGTGGGAAATTTCGGGATCCGTGTTTCACTTCAGGCTGTACACGAACTCAGTGCTTCAGCTGTGGAAAGAAAAGCAACTCGGATGCCGTGCGTATGAGTACCACTGCTTCATATCTCAATAAATTGCAGATCACGAGGACTGCGGAAAGCTGT